CAGGTGCTCCCCGTCGTGCCCCAGTGCTGGGGAGCTGCTCTGGGTGCTGTTGGTGGGTGCGATCCGGCTGTTTGTGCCGATCCCTGGGCAGGAGATGGTCTGCATGGGATGCAACAAGTGTCAGTGGTGGTGACGGTTCTGCTGCTGCAGCTGTTGGAAATCCCGGGAAAACCCAGCCTTGGCTTGGGAGCTGCAGCATCACCCTTAGCTTGCAGCTCCTCGAGGAGCAGAAAGTGCAGAACTAGGAGAAAAATGGATGAGAGCTGCTTGAAAGGGGCTCCTAAAGCTGCTGGTGTCCCAGGCTCGGGAATGGCCCCTTCCTGCAGCTCCTGTGCCAGGTCCTGGCTGCACCATGTGCCTCCAGGTCCCCTAATCCCGGTGTCAACTTGGAGACCCCTCAGGCACAGGGGTTTGGGCCAGCTCCTCGCGGCAGCGGGTGCAGGAGGCAGCTCATGTCCCTAGGGGTGAATGCAGCATTTCCCTCGAGCCCGCAGGTGCAGTAAATATTTACCCTTGTGTTTGGGTCAGGAGCAAGGGCCTAATCGCTGCCATGAACAGCTCGGCGGCGCGAGACGCTGCGGGAGGAGCGGAGCCGCACAGATGTTTCCAGAGGACTCTGCCAACTCAGCCGAGGCCCAAAATTTAGGGCTTGTAGAATAACCGCAAAGCTGTAATAAAACTGAACGTGAGCAGAAATGTCTGCAGCAATTACGTGATTTTGAGGGGGAGGTGTGGAAAAGGAAACGCTGCTTTAAATTGAAGCACTTTCCTGCTGCTCTCCTGCTCTGCTCAGGCCCTGGCTGCGGGCTGGGAGCTGCAGCCCTGCAGGAGCCTGGGTTAAGGCTTGGAAAAACCTTTCGGAGCTGCGCGAGGAGCCTTGGCCGCTGCCGGCTATTCCCGTCGCTGCTATTTCTGTGGCTGCTGCACGGTAGTCGCAGCTTTGCTGCTGTTTTGGTTTCCTTGAGGCTGCAGCTTAATCACAGCCTTGGCGAGGGCAGGGGCGGGCGCCCGGCGGGATGAAGGTCCCGGTTTGTGCCGTGTTTCTCGCTTCCCTGCTGGCCCCTGTCCTGTCGGGGGGACGCGTGGGCACAGGGAGGCTGGTGGCACGTGGTGGCCAGGCATGCCCAGCCAAAAATTGCACCCTTTGCCTTAAAAACAAGGGCTTTCCAACAGTCTCTCTACACCAGGTGCTGGTCTAATGTTCCGCCGTGCCAGGTTCTTGTCCAAGATTAGTGTTTTAATTGCACGGGAGGGTGCGCAGAGCCGGGGTGGCACCAGCAGGACCTCAACGTTCCGGAGCCCAGTGTCCAGCCCGCGGCTTTGCCCGGCACAGGCG